CGTATCGTATTATATTACAAGAAAAATGCCAAACACCATGAAAAGCTTTTCTTGTTTTACAGGCGTCATTTCAACATAATAAGGAAACATTCTATTTGTATCAGTATTTTACTTCGTTGTTATTATGATTCTTCGTCGCACTTCTTCTTTCGACCTTCGGTTCGCTTTGTATATTTTTTTACCGTTTTCTGTTGTGGTATCGTCAACGAACCAGCAGCCGTATGATAACCACCTCTGTGCTTCCTGTATTTATTATTTACAATTGTCGCAATGATGAAAATAAATTCATTTTGTTGCAGAGCGCTTCCACCTGTGTTTCACATATTACATTCCTGATATCCGTTTGTGTCTTCCTATATCTTTTTACCCCGCAAATATTAAAATCTCAGTACTACAACCAAAGTTAACGAAAAACAAACCCTCAGTCTCGGTATTATATCTAACCAAGTACCATTCTGATTCACAGAGAACTTTACGTAAAAACTCTTCGCTAGCCTTCAACGAGCACGTCAGTCTCAAAAGTTAGTCTTTGTATCAGCAAATGATTCTGTTACGAAGGTCGGCTTCATTAAGTAATTTAATAACGCCCTAATACTATCCGGCGTCCGATAAAGCATGTGCCTCAAGTACTGCGGATATCAATTAAAAGAAATAGCCGAAATAGACTCAATCTATATCATTTACCTTTGTCGCGCTGTGTTGCCTTAATATTTTTGGCTCAGACCTGGTTTTCTCTGGTATCCATAACCCACATTGGTGTAGATATTAAATACTCTGCGTAGACGTCTAATACGTTACCATTTTTGTAACAATACAGACAGTAATAATAGAACTGTTACTCTCCTCAAGTTGACGATAACAGTAATAGTAGTAACCAACACTGGCCCAATATCAATTATGTGAACAGTCAATATGTACAATGTGACAGTAGCCAACCTCAGCTTATTTTATAATAGTAAATAGCTTATTTTTCATCCTAATGGGATATACCTCTTGTCCTACAGCAAAAGAGCATGAAATTTACCCCGTTACGCACTAATTTTGCGATTAGTGCCCTTTTAAAGAAAACGGTGCCTATCAGTAGATGAAACATTCGATATATCATAGCGTGTGACTACATTTGTTGTCTAAATTCTTCACAATATCAACCATAAAAAATGGGTCCGATGTTCGTTTAGAGCATCACTTTGCTTCGCTTTTTCTTTTTGCGACGTTTTTTTCGCCGACCTAGATTATCAAAATGCACTTCCCAACACTGTTGCTTTGCTGCTCTATCCGACCGATATGTTATTCGTCAGCTCGTATGTTACCCTGGTGTCAGGTTAAAGAGAAAACCCTTAGCAAAACAATGTGATAGTGAATACACCGCAACAACGGGGTTGTTTCAGGCGCCGATCAGCTGTAGAGGTTACTCCAGACACCGTCAAATTCGATCGATGGAACCCCATTACGTTTCAAGATTTCTGCGTAGAACGTCAACTCTTGAATCACCATACTATAATGGAAATAGCAGAAAAGAGATGTGCCACAAGTTATTGAAAAAGAAATAGCTGGTAACTAGAAACTTCGTGGAAATACGATTTCGTTTACTGCCATAGCGAAAGAAATCTGAAATGAAATGTTTTCTCTTATTATTTTTCCAGCTATCTTTTTTTAATATAAGAGTACCCAACTAAGCATAGAACACTGAGTTATCATAGAACATAGAGTTATCATTAAAATAGATTGTTTTACATGACATTAGTTTGCGCTCACTTACCCATGCTGTGGCCCACCGTCAGGCTTAACGCCGAGCCTGAGGAGGTGCTTTCGTAGCGCGGGAAGGAAGCTCTGATGACATTTTTTGAGCAACTCAACTCCACGATCTTCGGGAAGTGTTGAGCTCAGCGAATTATTTACTGCAATCACAATCGATGTAATCCCTCGGAAAGCCTAATGCACACCGCAAATACGACCGCCAACAGGCTATCAATGAAAGGGTCTCATACATGGAAATTATGCCCATAGATGCTTCTTACTAGAACCAATTATTTTTTTAAACAACTATTATACTAAGCATAAATTAGAAAACACCTGTAAGTTGCGCATAACATCAATCATATAATAATAATCATGATCATGGCAATCATATACTTACGTTCGAGGGTACGGGCGCTTTAAGCACCCATTCTGCAAGCTTGGCATCGACTGCTTCAGCAGCTAAAGATAACACGCGAGTTTCAATTTGTGCCGAATGCTCGCGCAAATCCGAAGCCATTTGCGCAAAGTGACGCACCATAAATAACTGCTTCTTCGCCAGAGATCTTTCAAAATGTCCACGCAAATATGGGATGAGACGTTCCACCAACTCTAGCGAACGTGACGCTATCACTGCAGTCGGGCAAGTCGAAGGCAATAAGGCTTGTTACACAGAATTTTCTCTCTGATACGGAAATATTTCACTTAAATAATATCAATTCAAATTACCCAGTCAAAACAAGTCTGTTTGCCATTTTTAGTATGTCTGAAAAGACTTCGCGTATGCGAGTTAATTTATTGTACCGCTAGTAGGATATAAGGGTATAACTTACATAGTTTAGATATGGTTGGTCCGGAAAAACTACGAGTTGTTGCTGGACCCAACACGAGCCTGTAGGTAGCAGTGTTAAAATGCTGAAAAATCGTAAATAAAAAGGAAATTGAGTGTACTGCTTAATCGCAAAGTGAGATTCAGTATCAGTGTAAGAAACCTCTTAGAAGAGAACGACAACAATTAGGCAATGAGTTAGATTTACAAGCAAATATTTTTACTGAAGTGTTACCTCGCGACTAAGGCAACCAGATGTAACCTCTGTCCTATAGCCCGGCTAACCTTACCCGAAGTAGATCGAGGAGTCGCGTCAATAAGTCCGCTGCAAGCATTGGAATGTCGAGGGAACTCTGGCAGTACTCAAGCAGTAATTTAAGCAGATGAAGTGCGCAGCCGGACACCACGAAGTGTTCGCCGTTCACAGATAACGTGTCCGCAATTGCCGTCGAGTCTGTCCTGCTGTCGCACTTCACCATCCGGAGAATACCCGATGAACACATGATTGCACTACCAAAAAAGAGATAGGCGGATAAAAAAGCTATAAGAAACGCAGGAAATCAACATTTGATACAAATGGCAGGTAAATGAGCTTTCATATCGTCATTTAATTAAATGCATAGTTGGGACAAACCGCTTCTATTTAGGTGTTCCGAAACCCAAATGGTTAATTGGTACCTAACGAACAAATTACATTATTTCTGTTTGAAGAGCTTATTTTTTCCTTATCTAACTGAAAATAAAGAATTTTTTTGACCGGACTGATCAATATATATATATATATATATATATATATATATAGATGACGCAATGATATATATATAGATTATATGCACGATGCTTGCTGCTGTTCTATTTTACTAATAAAATCCACGCACCTGGTAAGCATATTTTGAAGATTCTGCGGGACTTTGACTGCTTTAAAGGGCTCATTTTCAAGTACAAGAATCAAGGTATCCTTGTGCTGGTCATGATACGCTGTCACAAACCGGTTAGCTCGCGATTGTAGTGCTAATCGAAGTCCTGTTCCCCTGCGTCCTTTACACACCTACGATATTAGCAGTGACAGCATTAACAGTCAAGCTTCTTATTTTGTTCCGCGTGGCTTGAATCAGTGACCCTCTACTCTTCTTATCTAAGTTATTGCACCACTAAAATAATAATTTAATGTGTAGAAAATTTTTTATTATGGGTTACCTTTTCGCATTTTGTGCTGAATGATTCAATGCCCTGACAAAGGGCGACAAAATCAGAGGATCCGACTTTGTCCAGTGAACCGTCCTCACTTTTGGCGCTGACAAGTTTTGCGCAAGCATCATGGGCCGCGTTACTCGCTTCAAGAAGCATATCCGAAAGTTGCACTTCGATACGGCCGCGCTCGCTTTCGCTCAACAATTCCTCAGAACAGCTAGCCGTGCGGACAATCATCAAAAAAAAATGTTACATCTTTCTTTGAAAATAATTGTATAAAAGAAGGTCTAAATAGTATTGAAAACATTTTGCTTTTTTTCTATCTTTCAACAAGGCGTGTGTGAAGTCCGAAGGCTGTGGAAAATCAGTAACATATTTCTTTGTAATGTTCAGTAATTATCTGTGGTCACCATTTGTTCGTAATGATATTTTTCTTACCGGGAGCTGGCGATAGAACTTCTGCTAGCACTAAGTTGCTTCATTCTTGCTAGCGATGGAGACATCTTAGGGTTGTCCTCAATACGACCCTCTTCATTCAACGATGAAAACGACCCACCAGCGGGGTACCCATTTAAGCCTATAATTTTTGGCATTACTTACAAATGTTTATGAATTTTTCTTGAGTATTTTATTCTATGAATGGACCGATTCTTATGTATTATATAAGTAGTTCCGTATTCCCAAATATACAATTAGACGAACGAAAAATTATTCTAAAGAAGATTCCTAAAACGGCTACTGGTAAATACCGGAATGAGGTCAACAGTCGATTCGCATACCGTAATGGTAATATGGTACTGTGAAGACGCGTTGTTTCTCTAAAGTCGGACAAGTTAAATAGCTTACCAAAATTGCTGGTAACAAGAATGTTTTGGAATTTTCTTCTCAGTGCTTAAGCGTCTGGGCTTAGGAAGTGTAATGTTGAATAGAGGGTAATTATACTTTGTTACTAACATAACACATAAATAATGCCTAAATGTATTTAATAATAAATGGACACGATACTCCTCATATGATCATTTAACGTTGACGTACTCGACTTTGACTGCAAATATTGCCCGCCGTCTTCGATGACCGCCGTAGAGGCGCCATTCCCCTCTTCATGATGTGGAGGGCTTTTATTGTGCTGCTTTTTTTCGTCATCATTTCCAGGAGTTTGCGTTGGTTGTCCTGCTCCGAGAATTTCCAGGCAAAGATCATAGACCGCTCGAATGCGGAGCAGGAGCTTCTCAACGTTGTTAAATGCCCTATAAAGGAGTGTCATCCATTCGGAGATTTCTAGGTGCTCCAGCTGTTGCTCGGGCCTGCTTTGTTCATTCATTGTAAAAATATTATGAATCAATTTAATGACTCGGCTGAGCAAATCAAGTAGACACGAATACGCAATATAGAAGCTAGTAAGGTCACTACAGAAAACTGTTAATTTTTGTTTAACCGAAACGAAGGATGCATTGGAAGAAGAGCATGTGGCAATAGTAGGTGAAGCAGATAAAATGATGTTTAAGATTAGAAAGGGTAATAGTAACTTCTTTCGATGAGGCTGTTAACGTCGTTATTGTTCACAGTCAAATAACTGCATTTAAACTGGCTGTTTATTAAAATAGCTTTACTTACCGAATAATATCTTCGTGTGTCATTTCAGCTGCAAACTCCACCTGCGTTTGTTTGACCATCGCTTGCAAAGCCGTCGTAGCCTCTTCTTGGTACCAGCGAACCATTTCTGGGCCCTTGCCTAATCTTAGAAGGCCGCAGATGACTGCCCGAAGTTGGTCAAGGTCTTTAATTTGAGGCCCTGAATTGAGTTCTCGATTGAGGTCTGCTGCCGTGTACTTCTTAAAGTCCGTTTCAAGGATTCGCAAAATCAGATTTTCGATCTCTTTCAACTGATGACCAAGGTGCCGGAAGCAAACTACGTCTTTCAATTCCTGGTTGAGGATTTCATTTGTTGTGTCAATTAAATCAAGAGCTCCAACAAACTCACAATTGGCTAATAGAACCTGATAAAGAAAGGCAGAACAAGTACAAAATATAACAGGGTAACAGATAACCATATTTTCAATAAAATTTGTGTTCATACCTTAGATGTACCTAGATCTTCCGTGCTGGTATGATGTGCTAAACAAAAAAGCTAGTCCACTAGAATTAGCAACGGACGTTGTTATAGATATAATTACATCGTAAATTATCACTGTTCTCAAAAAGCCTTAACGTCAGATGTAGCGGGTTAATATTGAACTGAATATCAAATCTACAAAATGGATCATACGGGTTACTGGCAAATACGGACATAAGTGAGTTCGCGATAGATCTATATACCTGGATCGTCGGTTGTGCATGGTGGACGTTAAGCATAAGTTCCAGTTTATCAACCACCGATAGGATGTTTTGTCGCCGTTGATGCAGCTGAAGAACTCGAAGGGGCTCTTTTACCAATTGTTCCTCGATTTCAGCTATTCGCTGTCTAAACACCCGCACAACGATCGCAGCAAAACGACCAATTAAAAATTGTGTACAACATAATATAGCGATACCATCCAACATCCGCTAATGTTAATAACGGGTATACTGTCAACCACAGCTGTAATGTATAATGTACATCCAACTGACTTCTTAGCTTATTTAAGTGACGCAAAAAACGAAATATTTGGCATCTTCCGAGTATATTTTAGGTAACCTGATTATACAGGAATAAGCAATTTTTTTTTCACTTCGAACGCGCTTTTATTTAGCTAAGAAAGCAAACGCACATTATGAAACCATCTAGATGCTTGGACTTAATATTATTTTACGTCACAATGGTCCTGACCGAAAGTTAGAATCAAACTATGTAGCCAAACCACTCGAATTTATGACGATTATTTGGCAACATGCCACATTGAATTAAAATCTGGATACAGGTTTTATACGGTTCAATATTCCATAATATTATGGAAATATTCGTCCAAAAATGGATGTAACGAACCTCATGGCTGTGATAGAAGAAAGAGTGGCAGCCATTCTGTCAGCGAGTTCGTCTTGCGAAGTCAGCGCGTCAAAGAAGGCGTCCGAGTGCTGTGAAATGTGCTTAATCAGGCGTACCTCGACAAGGTCCGTCAACTGACCCAATCGCTCCTGCACTGCTTGACGTCCAGTCTCTCCTAGAGCACTGCTTGACGATACATTACTATTTGAACCACTATTATAGTTTGTCACTGCACCCTAGAATCGAGTTTACCAACATTGATTACGGCACTGGTTAGCAAAGTAGTGACTCATTCCAGCTTCTGCTATTTCCTCTTCGCACCTTGTGGTCAATAAAAACACACCTACGTTGAAGGATTTACGTTTCAGGTAAATGTTTTATAAAAGACTATTTTTAAAATGAAATCGGATTTTATAGCATTGCTCTTCTACAAACCTCTCTACTCAGGTGTTCATTAGTGTTTACGCTGATCTTTTTGGGATGCCTTTCTCGGATCGGTGAAAACTTCTCCTTAACTTCTTTGACCTCTTCGGCACAGCCCAGAACAGCTGTGAACGTTTCAGGGTCCGATAAATCAAAATTCGGTTTAAAAAATATCTGCAATATGCAAGTAGGAGAAAATACTTTCATAAATATTTGCCATAAGCTAAATCCCCTGAACCAGTTTTTTTTCAAAAGAGAATAATTTCATCTGTAACAGTGAAGAATGTAATGAATCGATAGACTTGCTTTACTGCTACTCACGTTATAAATATCACAACGTGGAAACATCTTAGATAAAATTATAATACGAGTGTTATTGCTAGCCAGTAATAATAATAATCATCGTAATTTCATGGTAGTGCACTAAAAATAGAAAGCTAGATTCTGGAGGATAGGCTACGCTCTATTAGTATCTGTCACTTATGAAAAGCTTATCTATATAAGCTCACTAATGTTCTACAAAAAGCTTCGAGACCTTCTAGGTCGCCCGTTACGTAATCATTTATATATTCTAAATACTGACGCTGGGTACTTGCTCGATGGTAAGCTCGAGCGGTTGTTTCTTGGGGCTCTTCTGTTTGCGTTTCTCCGCCGGGATCGTACCCGACTCTTCCTTTGGTTTCTGAATTTGACCGTTCCGCGCACGACGCTGCCACCGTGTTTTTGTTCGCTCGAGGTAGTCTTCGAACGAGGCCCGCTTAACAATTGGTAAAAATTTGCACGGCTCCACCTGAAAATAAATTTTGGTCTACTTTCATACCTTTTGTCAAATAAAATCGAGTAAAATGTTAAAACATATATGCGAAAAAAACACCTGCGCGTGTATTCCGGTCTTTGATCGCTTGTTTGAATAAATTTAAAATATTTATTATTTTGCTAACAGTCCTCGGAATTCCGAAGACATATCACGTACAATGATAGCATTCTGCGCTAACATATGAAAAATGCAACTGCCGATCAGTGTTTAGAATGCTTTCCCGTAATTGTTTATTAGGCCTTCAGTAGTGCCCTAGCGTCGATCTATTGACATGACATGGACTAACAAACAATGTATACATCATTCACTATTACCGTAAATGGAAACCAATTTGCTAACCTGCTGAGGTTCAATAAAAGCGTCTCCCCATGTCTTCGTAAAAAAATCATTTCCTCGTTTTCTACCGGGATCATTGAGGAGAGCAGGTAAGTTTTGCGTGCAATCGTAGACACTCCACGTTGCTCCACCGGCTGCCGCTGCGACATCCGGCTCGTCTGGCGTAGTACACGCCAGATGCACGTTGAGTACATGTGCCTCAAAATGTGCCGTATCCTTTAGCACGGCACACAGTTGGCTACCGGACGAATAATGACACTCAAAGCCGGAAGCGGGCCCAGCGCCGCGGTGACAGTGGGCTAGCCGAACGTGCGCCACGAAGTCGACGGGGCCGGGCAGCACCCGGTGCGTACAAAGGGCACACTTCAGCTTTGGCATTCCGATATTCCGACTTCTGGGGCCGCCCGTGGCGGTGCTTCGGGGGCAGACACTGCTGTAACTTCTGCACCACCAACAACAACAACAACAACGATAGCGATACTCAAGTCACCCATCCCCCTAAAGGCAAAAATCGAACAGAACGCAGAGAATAGATATATTGTTAATTTATTTCACAGAGATAGACAGACGCTAATGGGAATAATTTGTCTGCACTGCATAATTAGTCTTCGATTATTTTTACGTTCTTTGCTAAACTGTTTTTGTTGTTGTTCTATTATTTTCCAAGTGCGACTAATGACTCCAGTAATTGACGATATTTATGGTTATAGTCTGTTTTTCAGCGTATGCTTCTATTTTCTTATGCGTGTCATACAATATGCCTTGTTTTCTCATTCTTAAGGCTCAATGTGCTCAATTCTTCGCTGTTATCATTTAATACAGTCTTTAGATAACACTGTCATAACCGTTGCTTTTGTACGTTTTTTGCTACTAAAATTTAAGCGGGTCGGCAAGTTTCAATAAAACGGTGCATTACCGAAGTTGAATGTTCATAGTCATCGTCACCAGTCTCAAGCAGGAATAATATACAAATTCTTATCGCCCATGAACGTTTCAAAACGGCCAAAACCACGAAACCAATAACAATTAAGTGTTTCCCAAATACGTTTAGTGGCTAAACAACAAATGTCTAGTAAACTACAGGCAATAGGAATGTTTAGCGGCATTATTTTAATAACACTTCTCACTTTAAAGGATATAAAATCAATTGGTTGCCTGTTTTCAGTTTAATTTTAAGCGCGTCGATACTGTTCGTGAGTTTGAGACCTAACACTTCCTCGTGCAGGACCTAGCTACCTGATTAGCCCACAATCACAAACTACTTGCTCCGTCTATTTACATATACATGTGACTTTTTTTTCCCTTTAATACTAAAGCCGTTGGCAGTACCCCGTAAAGGTAAAATTAGCACAAGAACTAAATCGTTCAGATGTCTATATAGTTGATAAAAATAGAAAAACGGGAATTTGAATAAGGGTGTGTGAAAGCACGTGGGCACCTTCTTTTAAGCTGTCGACTCATAAAAGTAGTATTTCGGACAACTGAAAGCACTTTCAATTTTTAAACGTTACCGTTAGTCATGATGAGATACATGGATGCCCCGAACTGGATATAATTAACGGCATCTGAGGTTTTTACCTGTTCTTTGTTTGATCTTGTAGATAAAAAGAAAACAGAAATACGCCATGTAAGCGTTCGGTGGACCCGTAATAGCATACGACACAAATTGTGCATTGTCAAAATCTTAACACCGGCACCACTTTTCGTGATTTGACCAACAGCCAGTGTTCTTTTTGACTGAATTATTTTTTTTTTTTTTATCATAAATGCTAAATGATATTTTCGCGTTGAAAGCGTTTATACAAAACAATCAACGATCTTCAGAGTTGTTTTGCTTGTTGCCTTATTAGCACTTATGTAACTCGTCTCCACTTCGGGATACTTACGAAGAAGTTGTTATATAAGCTATAAGGAAAACAAAAGATTTAATAAGTGAATAAAGCAAGCACACGGTTCTCTTGGTGGACGATTTTAACGACATGGTCGTACCATACCAAATCTACCGTGGCAGTTTACGTCACCTAAGCTGCATCACCTGCAGGAACCATCTTGCTAGTGCTTTAGCAGTTAATCAGATTGGCATTTTCAGAAAATGTCTACTACTAGATTGGTCACTACGGGAAGTGCTGCTTTTGTTACTTAGTTCAATCCTTACTTGCCTATCCAAAACCAGCACCTTGATTAAGCTTTCTACAATATTCGCAACAATAAAATTACAACATTGCAGACAAAAAAGAATATGTTGTCTATATCTTATAACTTGATCGACTACAGGTCACACTCTTTATACAGACATATATATATATATATATTGTACAAGCATATAATGGAATCGCTGCGAAATAAATGAAGGAGTTAATTTATTGCTGACATATTAAAGCTGTTCGTTAAATTAAATTCAAGGAAACTAGAAACGCATCCTGTTAGCACTGGGCGTCTTTAAGTATAAACACTTCGTTTGATGGATTTGTTTTTCATGGCTTATCGTCCCTACAAGGCATCGTCCAACGATTCGTGCTCTCAATTATCTCCAAGACCCTAGGAATAGTCAATGTGGAACTCATTCCCATGCTTTTCGCCAACATCTACTTGTTGGATAATCTAATCAGTACCAACAGCTGTAGCAACTTCGTTTACAGATTCCTACAAAAAGAGGAGTAACTGAAGCAACATTGCCGTTGTCCTCTGTCGCCGTGACGTTGGCTGTGGCACTACGCCGCTCCGATTGCGGTCGACCGCTGTAGTGTCGGCTGTCGTCGAAGGCCGTCATCCGTCTATTCGATAATGTGTCGATTTCCTTAGAACTATAACGGCCTTCTGTCTGCTCCCGTCCGCTGATCAAATAACAACTGTTGTTCAACGATAAGCGTTACTCATTGCGTCGATTTGAGCCCATTCTTTTTCAGCATGCTGATTGTGCGAATATGTAACGAATAAGTACACCTATACACATCTAAAGCCATGAACAAGTGAAGATGATAAATACGAATACTGCCATCCTCCTAGCTAAAGATAAGTAGACTTAAACGAACACATAATGAACGACAAAATTGGCTTATCACAACGAAAAACCAGTACTATGCACTTTTTTGCAATATCGTGTGATGCGTCTCCGTGTCGGTGTGTCAGGATCGGTGTTGCTAGTGTACCATATGATGGGTAAGAACAGACACGTTTCCTAGGTTAGAGCGTTGCCTGCGTGGAATTTTGGTGAGCAGAGCTGTCGCGAGACAACTCTGTTATAGATGAACCGGTAGAGCAACATCGGGAGATTGATTTCACGCGCTAGGTTTAATAATTATTGCGGCGAAAGACATCGTCGCCTAAGAACCATCATTCTGGAGCAGTGGGCTGTGGGATTCGCATAGAACAAATGATATTCCTACTGATAGATAGCAAAAGCACTAAGACCTGAGACAGGTCCAACATTGGAGTGCCAGCACTTTAGCGATCCGTCACCGCCGGCGCACAGCAAAGACATTCGTCGACATCATCATGATAGCTCGTTAAGGGTGCATAATTTTTTCAGTGGACTGCGCACTCGACGAAATTGCGTACTTACGTTAGAAATGATTATTTGATACGGCCATGTCACACAACAAAATCCGAACGGAATACACACACACGGAACTGTTAACAACAGCTGATCACGGAGGGACAGGTCGTCTGCGCTGCAACGACAGCGCCATATTCAAAATTGAAGGCAATCAAAAATCGTAGAATAGAACACATTAAATTTATGAAGCTCAAGTTTATTGAGAGTAAGTGTGCTGTTTTAAAGAATCTGTCGGTATCAGCATGAAGGTGCAACGTGACCTTAATGTGCACCCCAGGGCAAAACGGTCAGATATTTGGTAAGTGTAATCACTGGACAGTCCCGACTTACTAGAGTTCAGTCGAATAAGCGAAACGCTCGTACGCAAAGGAGCGGAGGGAACATTCTTACCTCTAAAGATACGATTGGAACAGCTGACAGTGAGAATATCGGTGCAGTAAGTGCGTGTGTATTGATGGTAAATCCTCCCCCTCCCCCTGAAGCTTCAAAAGATACAATTATTTGATTATTCTCACCATCTATGAATAGAAACCAATTACGGCTCGTTTAGTTATGGAAAAACTTGTCATTGGATCTGTTAAGCTTTCACTCGTGAAAACTGTCGACCAGGCCGTGGGTAAACTTCGTTCATCCTGAGAGCAACGAAGGTTACTTGTTATACAGACACTTACTTTGTTTTATAAGTGATTACTGTACAGTACTTCTTTTTCTATCTACATACACGTCTTTTACCTGTATGTGATGAAAGGTCGTCAATAGCAAGTTAAAGCAAAAATATTTATGATGCATGTACAACTAGTAGCATCGCTATCTGGACATGCAGATTCGGTGTGGTGTTGCGTATGGAGTCCTGATGGACGCACTCTAGCTACCTGTGGGACTGACAAAGCTATTCGATTATGGAGCAACCCAGCATTAGAGAAGGGTCAAGATCAAAAAGAAGATGCTCGCACAACTGATGGAGGGTGGAAATGTGTTACGATTTTAAGTGATGGTCATTCACGTACGGTACGTCGGGTCGCCTGGAGTCCCTGTGGCCAAATGCTCGCCTCTTGTAGTTTTGATGGCACCGTATGCATATGGACGCTTAAGGAAGGCGAGTTCGAGTGCACTATTACGCTGGAGGGTCATGAGAACGAGGTAAAAGCGGTGGAATTTTCGTCATCGGGACGGTACCTAGCTACGTGTTCACGCGATAAGACCGTATGGATTTGGGAGCGGGACACCAATAGCGATGACGAGTATGAATGCGTTAGCGTCCAGTCGTGTCACACTCAGGATGTCAAATGTGTTCGATGGCATCCTTCCGAAGATTTACTAGCCTCAGCGAGTTACGATAATTCGATCAACTTTTATAGGGACGAAGGAGATGACTGGGTCTGTGAGTTTACGGCTGCTAGCCACGATTCAACGGTATGGAGCATCGATTTTAATAGGGATGGCAGTAGGCTCGTGAGCGGCAGCGACGACCGCACAGTGCGGATCTGGAAGCGATACGAAACCGAGAATAATGTCGGAGTAGCGCCCTCGTGGAAAGTGATTTCCACGATCCAAGGCTTCCACCCTCGACCGATCTATACTGTATCGTGGTGCCCAAACACCGGCTTAATCGCCACTGGTTGCGGAGACAACAATGTTCGCATTTTCGCCCCTGACCCGGAGCAGATTTCTTGCGAGACTGACGATGCACCAAACTTCTTGCAAGCTGCGTTAATTCAGGCGCACACACAGGATGTCAACTGCGTTGCATGGAACCCCAAGCGAAACGGATTGCTGGCAACTTCCGGCGATGATGAAACAATCAAGTTATGGCAGATATCTGATTACGATATCCGTATATAAATACTGCATAATATTACCAATCAAGATTAGTTATCAATCGGTTTAAAAATGCAGTGTACTTAATAGTTTTGGCAGGCGTGTGAATCATTGCAAGTAGTAGATTTACGATGGTTACGTCAGAGTGGGACTATTGGAAGCATGTTTTCTGATGATTTATGTTGGGTGTGTGAAGTCGCCCAAATCGTGCCTACCACAAAATTTTATCTTATAACGACGTCATGTTATTATCATTCGTGGTAAATCAGCTCGAGCCCTTGGCTCTACTCTGTTAATGCTCGACATAATTTAGTAAAAAACAAAAATATATTTATTTCAAACAAAAACCCTAATAACATGTAGCTGTCATTATTTTCTGTCGATAACATAATAAAAAGCAATGAATCGTATTCGTGGTCCCTGAAGCCACGAAGTTTTCACTTTTCGACTAGCAACAATTATGCCCTCTACATTTGTTCGCAAAGGCTGAGCTGACTGGCTCTTATTTTTTACCAAAAGACAAGCTAAGCCTTATTTCGTTGCACCAAACTATCGTAACTGTGACTAACCTATCACGTTTTTTCTTAGAGTGGTCTTTTTTAAATTGGTAATTTCTCAAAAGATTTTTCATGGAGTAGACAAGATTGGTACATGAAAAACAGTTCCCTAAAGATAAAGATCTAAAAATGCTTCTATGTTTTATGTCTGGCCTGGATTCAATGTGAATATATACTGCAAAACTGAGGTGCCTTGGCTCTCGGAAATCAGCTGATCGATTCTATTGTCGATTGTCTTCCTTCATTCGATTTTCTGTAGCAATATCTTGCAACACGGATGAAGTCAGAAATACAAAAAACACTCCCTATTTCATCTGAACTACTTCAATTTTCACTAAATGAACACGCTACAAGTCTTTTTTTATTTTTTAATCTTTTCGGGTATATATATATATATATATATATATATATATATATATAGATGCGCATGCATTCATAGCTAGCAATCATAATCATATGTCTACGCTCCTTTCGATGATGACAATGCATTTTCATTCCCAGTCAAGTCGTACATGTGATTTCTTTTTCACGTCATCACTTTCGCATCAACATCATTATGTCATTAACATCATTTGTCCTGCTAGTTTAACCCGATACGTTTATGCTTTTCAGTTACTTTTATAATCCTAAGTTTATCTTCCTTGTTGTTGTTGTTATTTTCAACATTTCGTATTTCTGTGCAATGCGTGTTTCTTTCATTGTTTATTTAATTATTCATTACCATAATTATCACACTCGCTTATCATTGCTGCTCGTTCGTCATTTCTCTCGCTCGCTCGCTCTCTCTCTCTCTCTCTCTCCCTCTGTCTCCTGAAGCTTTCGCTCCGTTCCTTTTGCATTCCGTGGGCTTGGATAAATGGTTTGTCAGACATAAGAATACGGCCATACGCAAGTTGCTAGCCCTAGATGCCTAGCGGCTCGCGTATTCAAAATGTGTTTGTTTCTTGTCGCGCTTAAAATCAATCAATTAATCATGCTTACTTCATAGGTTGTTTATTTGCTAAGTGAAACAGATTATAATGAAAATCACGCATAAGAAAGCATCATCGTTACAGCGAATGTAATTGCCCTATGTAGTATGTCGTCGCTAAGAACAACTAGCTATTTTGAATAATGCTACGAAGTGTGCTAGGTAATGCTTGAAGGAAACTTTTTTCGCCGGCAAGGTTTTGTCGTCCTGGATGTCCATCACACCGGTCCATATAAAGGTCAGGACGAAAGACCTCGCGGTACGAAAGCATCCGAGAATGCGCAGCAAAATAAGCTTTTCAATACTACTACATTGCGGCAGTCGAATCATAAAGAACAAGTGCTGCTGACATCCCCAGGTGTTTACGCACCAGGTTCAATAGTTAATATGGAGAAGAACATTAATAATAGCATACTAATATTGGTAAGTAATGGTACTACATTGAGTAATATCAATATTACCCAGTGGTCATAGTTATGATATTGTGGTTAGATCGACAAAATGTAAATAGGGCAATAAATATTGCTTGGTCGTAGATAAAATAGCATTATAATGGAACAAGCCGTAGTACTAAAGGTGAATGTGTTTATGTTTTAATGGTGTAATTAATATTATTACTATTATTATTTGGGTACTGTTAAGTTAACAATAAATGTGGGATTAGTTATCTAATGTTCACAGTACGCGGTTACGCGGCTAACTCGCGTTTTTCGCTCCTGCTCAACAAAAAGATACATGTGCTAATAGGTGTTCGTTGGTGGGAATTGCGCTGGAGAGAGAATTTCCTTCGGTACCTTTATCAATACTAGCAACTACAGAACAGCCGGTTTTAATAATAATAACAATCAGCATCTTAAAATCATCATGACCGCTATAATAATCACAGTGACGAATTCGACGTGCTCGTTCGGTTTTGTTGCTTCATAATAACGTCTTGATGAATATATCTACGTCGAAGGCTTAAATGGACAAACTTTTCGACGAGAAAGCAGCTATATGTGCGCTCGCACCATGTGTGCGTACAGCTTACGACGAACGAGGCTTACAAATCGGATGAGCGCCAACGTCCGTTTACTGCCGACGTCTACTATTCGCACAGCTACTGAACATCCACAGTTAGATATGACTGATGGGGAATGGTGGCCTGTTGGGTAGCGCGACATTAGAAACGGCAGCAGCTAACGTGTAGCAATACGTCGTCTGATTCAGCGCTCGGTGGCTTCTTGTAGATGCACGCAAACAGTGAGAAATTGTCAGCGCTTTACCGCATAACCGATATTGCATTCCACTGAAGCATAACAAACGGTTACAATACAATGGGTTATTATAGAAAGAAAGCGCGCATAACGACATCGAGCTGAACCATCATAGCCCAATGGTTATCAACTCGAAGACGCACACAGGTTTTATTCTCTAGTTGTATATCGACACACTGTGCAGATATTGGCAACAGTAGCAGCTATTTGAGATCGCCCTGTGGGTTGCTAATTACCCTTAGCATAGCGGCATCCACGTGCTCAGACCATTCACCATACATGCATGATGGGATGGATACAAACTCCTTTCAAGATGCAAAGCCCTCTTTTACACGTCATGGCGACGAGAATAGTGGATAACGGTGTAGCGCCGCCAATGTTTAGTCGACGGCGAACGACAGCCATTTTACTTGCACATTTACTGTTTCAGATCACCTTATTCTGTCGGCTTTAGTCCTTCGATTTATCGATACACATAGAGCGCATGCTTTTCTGCTCGTATTACTGAACACGTACTGTATATCCATCACAGGTCGGTTAGTCTACCGTCGAGATCGTGAACTAAGCGAATACATTGGCAAAGTATCAAATCGAGTTTAGGTTGACTGATGTTATTTCGTTGTTTTCCAGCTCATTTACACTACTGTTGCTGTCATTTATACTATTATTAGTTGACGCGGGTGCTGACATATTCGTGTTCGTTTGTTATTCCACAAGTTTAGTTCATCTTTTACAAAAACGCTTCGTTAATAACTGTGCTCCAATACTAAACCTTGGCGGGCTATTTCTTCCTTTTGATTGGATTTAAATACGATGCAACGTGTCTGTGCGCCTTCGATTAGTATTAACATGGATATTTCATGGATTCGTGTAGGAGTGTTGGTCGTATTCATCGTACTCATTCATTAAAGGCAATTGTCCTTGACGGTAGTAGCAGTGGATGAAGATGTAATGCTCATTCTCGACTTTTTTTTTAACTGTTATGCTTGCTGCCTATATTCAATGGACGCTTATAGCACGCTTAATTTGATGGAAACGTGGGACACATTCGCACATTTTTTCCGATTATCTATCTTCGAGGTTTTTCAGTTGTCCGTTCACAGCTACAGGTATCACTTGTGTTTTTCCACAGGGACGATTTTTCTGTGAATAGATTTTGTATGACTAAGGAACAGAATTTGGAATAAGCGCGGATTATACTGAATTACTTCTGTTCTACTCTTGCTGTCTTGGACGGTATATAAAAATGATACTTATGACACCCGGTAATAAAAAGAGCAGTCTCAATCTTGAGATAATGGTAATAATAGTGCCATGTGAAAATAACAATAATAGTAGTAAACTCCAGAACAATACGGTCATAGTTGAAATATTATTAAATGTGATCATGAGACACGTTTTTCTACTTATTTTGTCCGCTTCTACTTCATCTTACCACCATCATTATTATTATACTCTATAAAGTGATCATCTTAACAACATGGGGAAAGGTCGGATTCTGCAACTGACCCGGGACTGACTGTTATCAAACTTGTGGCTTAGAGTTACCTTGCCACTGACCAATAAAAAAAAAATGACAAGGAAGTCACTGCATATGAACTAGAGAAAATGTGAGATTGGAGCCGATTATCAGAAATGCTATACCATCGGCGAAGAGGTCAAGAACAGATGGACGGGAGGAAACGAAGAACAATTCAATGCAAATTTTATCATATGAGCTCAGAGAACAGGGAATGTTCCGTGATCTCCTAGATTTTCCATGCGTATTTGTTAACGAACTTCGATGAGAAGTCAAATTTTCTTTTGGACTTACACCATTGTTGTGTTATGGATGTGATCCTCCGTGGCAGGGAGGATGATAAATGAAATGCAAACACTCTTATCTCCATTCAGCCAGGTGTAATAGAAGTTAGAAATATATGGCTAGCAATTACCATAATTAATTATTAAATAGATAGTCGTATTTGACTTGTCTCGCCGAAGTCTGACAAAAGATTTTTCATCGTGATTCGCTCTTCGGGATCCATATTAAATAACCTTTGTTGTCTGTCCAGTCAATATGCTGCTCATAGCTACTCCTTGACCGATAACTGTTGTACGCCTTAGCGAAACCTCCGTATTATTCACCAGGGACCTCCATCTTTTTTTTCTAGATAGCATACATCGCAACACATCCTGCGTAAAAAACTTTTTGATGATATAACACCAACAGAGTTGCATAACGATTTTTACAGCTGTAGAGAGCCTCAACGCTGTTCTCACAAGGGGTATGCTCCTGGTGGGCAAAACGACATAGATACTTCCGATCTGCTATCGCTCCTAAAAAGACCGTCATGACCAGTGTGTTGTCGGCCATTCGTCCAGGTTTTACTTATTTCAGGGCTTACCGGCAGTCATAGAAGGGGTATTATGTACTTTACTTTAATTCGTGTTGATTCCAGACCAAATACATGTACAATTTCGTGTACAATGACCGTCGTCGTTATCATATAAATTTACGGTGCCCACATGTCATACGTGTACGATTAGTGAGGCTATTTGTTTCCAATTCCATGTCTTTGAAATAAGTAAGAATATCTTTGTTTGTTTGTCATCCATTTATACCTGTCATTTAGCTCGATAGAGGTAAATGACAGATATAAACGTATCTTCAGTTGTATAAATTGTGATCTGAAATCAAAATTGATCTCTTGGCTGCAAGGCGACAGGTCTAGCGGCATCAAAAACTCTGAAACGTCAAAAACTTTCTATCCCTATATTGGTGGCGTTTCGAAACTATATAATAAACTATATGCTAACACCGACGCACATACATTGAAGGGAACCGTCCAGCACTTATCCGTTCCGAACCCAACTAAAGATGAGGCGTGGTAACTGAACATTGGCTGCTCTAACCTAGTGACTCAGGCAGACGACGCCTCCTTTGAGAAATGGGAATCTCAAAGAGATTCAATATCATCGTGCGCTCCAGCTGTAAGCGTTCAGTTCAGTTTGCCGTTTCGAAACCGGCCATAGAAAGACGGCCCTAGTCGAACCACTTCGCCTGTCACGATATCATATGTAGAATATAATCGTAGATCAGACGATATGTCAAGCCATAAAAGCATGACCTAATGAAACGAACGAATTGTAATGACGTCATCATCATCACTACTTCCGCCATCATGATTGTGATGAGAATGATTGTAATCATATAACACTCATAACAGATTAACGCCAAGGTTGATCATTAACCATGTGCACTTGGTTTTTTCGGAGGTCACCATCTGGCTTTACATCATGGAGGTTGTTTACTAACTGGTCTAGGTGTTGTGTTTTTTTGCTAAATATGTCGACCGAATATTATTGAGAATGATACATACGCGTGCGTTTATAGGAATCATGAAGCTTTCGTTTTTCTAGATATTAAAGAAATATTCGGCAACTCAAGTTATTTACCACAACAGCACTAAGCCATCCACCTTCTGATAACATATAGCGGCATTCAACTATTTTGTAACATTAATTACTTGAGCTTTAACTTATGAGTTTTATACTTTACAGACCAGCGGGCTTACATATTTGTTCTGCCAATCACAGTCCCTACTTAAAATCCTTTTAATGATATAGTGTCCGCATGGTATCATGATACCGTTCGTTATGCCGTTTCACCTCAATCAATTATAGAAGCAGATTTTCGCCAACAATGTTTTGTTCGCTTTCACAGCTCCGCGATCCGTCACTTGCATGTGCTAGCAGTAGAAAGTTGTGCATAAACGTGGTCATGGCGTCTTGATTTGATCGGTGCTATGGCATTTTGTGTAGCTTGCAATCGGAAACGGTTCCCGATTAATGATCAACTTCCGGTTGCATGATTTGGTTCCGTGGGTTCTCTAATTTGTTGGGTCTGGCATCTGCATTACGTACGGCACGATTATTGTCCTGGGGTTCGCTGTTCGGTTAAAAAGTGACTAGTTGGGTTGGTTCTCTCTAATCGCAATAAATACTTATAGGCCGACACGTAGTATCTTCATGGACACATCCCCTATAACGTTCTGCATCGAATCGGTCTTCTAGTCCCGCAAACGTAGTCTGTGTTGCTGATGAGAGCTCCTCTTCGCCGATAAATAATAACGCATGATTGATGAGTGCCAGTCGTATATATTCGGAGTAGAACTGACGTACCTTGATTGGCAGCGACCCTCTATTTTAATCCGATAGCAATAGCAATGATTGACTAACACCCTTTTCGCTTTCCTCGTTTTTTCGTTCTCATGGGTGAAAATTAATGATTATTTAGCGATATGTGAACTAAAAAAATGTCCTCATAATGATGTTTTCTATGCATGTGCAGGTTCTCTATCGTCTAAGCCTTCATTCTCAGCCACCAGAGCCCTTTCCAGAATCACCTGGATCAGACAAATCAAGTGTGGGCATACACCATCGGAAAAAAACAGCAGATATATTAGTTTCAGTATTTGAGCATACATACGTATATACGCATATATATTTTCAATAAATATAGGCTTGAGGTCCGCATTTTGTACACGTCGATTTTTAGCTTCAGTCTTAGTCAAAATGGAGAGGAAAAAGGGCCACATGTAATTCGTGTACCGACATAGAATACATTCTTATCCAAATGCATAGGACCTAAAAGTAGTTAGAAAATAGTAATGTACGCCTCTATACATCTAGACTTATGTCAGATTTACATAACTTAACACGTAACTATCAAAAAGCATCTTTATCATATATCAGACTTATACCCTATTTACCTATACCCTACTGTGTACCATCGTTGGCTGCGTCTACAACTGGTTTAGCGATTTCAGAAGTAGAAAAAGAACAAGTTTCATACAGGCAAGCTTCGGCCTATTCACTCAAGTCAAATCAATAAATTTGTGGGAGTAGGTCTATTAAATCGACTAAAAAAGCAACCAAAACAAACAGACTAATTGTCAAAAATAAAGTGTCAAACATTAGTAGACACTTGTGACTCTGAGAAAGCGCCGCGACTTACTAGAAGTGAAATAGCTATTACCTTTCCCTCTTTGTAACGCTGGCCGTCCTCCGTCGCAAACTCATATATCCAGCCCAGCTTGGCGTCGCAGTTCTTGCAGGACACATCGCGAACCATGTGTCGACCTGTCAACATCACCCTGTCCTGGACGTCGCTGCAAGCCAATTGAACATTTCTTAATTATCGACGATTATTCTAGTAGTGTGTGCTAGTATGACTATAGTAGGCAGTTCTTGTCTTTGCTAGAGGGGCGAGACCTATCATGGATTCTGATGCTTATTTATTTCTTATATTGTCCATTTCTCTATGTAACAACCTTTGTTGGAAACTTATATTGATTGCAAATAAGTAATTCTATGAAAATATATAATTTATTTCTTGCTTTGTTAATTGATTTGCTACTCTAATGTGAAACCTGGGTGACCAACCTGTAACTGAGGTTAACAACCCTATTGAATAGGAAGGCCCTGCCAGTGGCCCCAGTGAACCTCGTCGAAATAAGTTCATTTCGATTCGTGAGCATTGTGTCGCACGATGCGCACGTGAAAAGGCGTGTACCGCCTAAATGCTCGAGGAACACGCGACCCATTTTGGCGATAGGCAGTACGAGGCACGACTTGCGGTTAGCAGCCGTTCGACGTTTGCCGTCGGCAGAGCGATAAATTAATTTGAGCCCTCAACTACCCGACGAGACACACACGAAGTGCAATTCCGCTGGCGCCGGAGCAACGATGCAGCGCTAATACAGTTTTTCGAGACGATTCAACGTTTAAGGTCCTGCAAGCAGAGAAAGAAGAGCAGCAAAAAATACAGATAGTCAAAGCTTAGAATCAGATAGCATTATTAAACTCAAGCCCATTTATAACACTGACTAGTCTAATCGTCAGTGTTTTTTTTCTTAGATATTAAGGCTTAAATAGAAGAAAATAAACTGTAAACACGTCTGAGTAGAGATGTTGTTTAGAAATACATCCTCATACTGAGGTGCGCAAGGCAACCACGTTAGTTGCAACTAGCGAGCTTTGGATTATTCAGCCATATGCACCGAATAATAGAGGCGGACTGTAGGTCGCATTATTGCCGAGCCTTTGTTCCTCTTACTGCATGTAAAATTCAACATGTGCGCCCACAATGAACTACTTTAATTGGAAATAAGCAAATAAATTCTCTGTTCTTATTCTAACATGAAAGGACACTATGCACATTGAGTACAGCATTGCTTTCTGTTCCTGCCTGTAATGGTCCGTTCAGTTCGACTTCGATTAGCTCTAATCATTTTTACCTTGGCCCATTCTGTGATGTGAAAGAAATTTGCACAGAAACAGGCACACAGCGAAGTTCTATTGGATGCGCTCTAGTATATATATAAAGCTTTAGTTCAAATGGAATGAATTAGAAAACGAATGATTTTTTTTCTTTTTAGAAATTTTGTTTAAATCTAATCCCTTGTTTCGCAAGACATTGCCTACGAGCCCATTAGCACTTTTCCTTAATTTTTCAACCCCATTTAACCGTAGTGCTTATATTGGCAAAGTAGCGCAACTATCGCTTATCAGCTGTCGCTGCATGCTTGGATACATACATTTTGTATCGAAGTGAAAAGGAAATCAGTTCATGGAAAAGCTCATTACCTACGGTAAATAAAGCAAACAGGCTCACCTCTGAAGCCGAGACGTGACGCGAACTGTGTCATTATTTTTATTATACGTATAAGGAGAGGTTTAAACTCAACACTTTATTGAAACAATATTATTGCGTAAACGTTGGGTAACGCGTATAATTGGGATAATGGACAAGCAGATCGAAATTTCATTTCAGAAAGAAACAATTGGGCACAAACGTACTAGCTCGGCATTTAACGCTAACGAGAAGCAAGGCGATGCTTAACCTACTCATCACAAAATTTGTGATGCCAAAAAAAATTAAGGTAAAACCGATCTTTTCGTTACTGCTAAAAACTTCACCGCAGTCAAAAATTTTGTATGCAAATAACTCAGTGTAAAGCAAATTAAATGGTCATGCCAAACTATTAGTAAACGTGTGTGATCGGCACAATTTCTCGTCTTGAACTTGGTGACGCAACGACTCGCCCATTATCATTTACAAATATAATTATCCATATTAAGCCTTAATTACCAGATATTTAAAGCATTTTATAACGAAGTCCACCTTATTTACTGTGAGGTCCTTTTATGAGCTAAATTTATCCGCAACTCGTCGCAGACATCTGACGATGGAATGGTTTTGCTATGCAATAAAAATATGCTTTTTTTTTTTTATTTGTATATGTTATTACGGTTTTAATGACAACAATTGCATTACTATTCGCAAAAAAATGCATATTGTTCTACTGTCTTTTCCGATGAAAATGATGCGCAGCTCTATAAAGCAAGACGGACCGCCCATTGCGGCACGTGTTGTCAGACATTGTCATTTCTGCGTAATGACGCAGGCTAACAACTCGATATTTGCAACTGTCGTTTTAGCTAACAATGTATGGCAGGTTGCAAATAATGTTAGGTTAGACGAAAATAAACATTGAACAAAATAACACTAGAAAGCAATAAACCTTAGAAATGGTAGTATATATTGATATGAATGTATTAGGCACAACACAAGTTGGAAAATGTCCGTCAGAAATTTTTCAAACAGTAAGACCTGTTTCAATATTCCAATCGATATTCGGGAGGTTGTAAACACGTCAAAAATATGCAAATATAAATGCATGCAAATGCTAGGCTGTTCTACTGCGTCAACTAGGAGGGAAGATACCACTCGAGTCAGAATCGTCGTAGTGAACTCTATTCGACGCTTGCGTGTTCATTAAAATTCACCATACCTCTAAAAAGACCGAGTGAAATTGAATGCTTCAATAACCGCTCATCAAGAGCCCACACTGTGAAGCTTGAGTCGTTTTGTCGAAAGTCAGTTTGGGAGATCTTAACGTTATTTCAATATGATAACGTTTCCTGGAAATGAAACATCACTTAGCAACACTCCTCGTAGCAGGACAGAGTCAGCTGTGCCTTTAGCGGATTGGGCCTCTCGGATGCAATAGTAACAAAACCACAGCGCAACGTAAGCTTAGGAGAAGATCAGCTGCTGTTAGTAATAGGCCTACGGAATGAGCAGCTGATCGTACTGTCTCAAGGGCAACAAAATGTTCTCATCACTTGCAAGTACAGCCAAGCACGAATCTCGAACTAAAACGATACTGACGTGTTAGCGGGGAGTACGTAAATGTCTTGCGGTGCCTCACGAGGACACGGGGGGGACTTCCAAACGGCCGCAAAAAGGCCTCACCTCGGGAGCTCAGCTGGCGCATCACACGCACCCAACAAGCAAATGGCGGCGACTCGATGCGTTCATTTGCGTTTCAAACAACGCACGAATGACGGGCCGTCAGCAATAGAAAAACTAGAACGAGTTAGCTGAGAAGCAGGATATGACGGGAAGTAGAAAAGGAGAAGGAGTAACGAGCAACAGCCAACACTTATAGCGGTTGCCACTATGTGTTGCTGGGACAACGAAGTGGCGAGAGCCGATTTGGCTCGACCTAACCCGCGAATATACGAATTCGAGATATCGACAGCGAAAGTTGGCTAAGGAAAGCCTTAAAGTCGTAATCAGTTGTACCTATTATTATACTGTCAAACTACTGGTTCAGTCGGAGGAGTCGTGCGAAAACAAGCACTACCCTGACCTTATTTCGGAAAAAAGGGACGTACAAGACAGAGACATGGGAAGGCTTGTCGTATAGTCCATGGGCATGATTCGATAAAAAAAAAACAAAAAAAAAGACCTATTAGTTAATTTCTAATAAAAACTTCATAGTGAATGATTTTATTAAGAAATTACATTAGTGCTATCTTATTTTTATTTATTATATATTATTACGATTATTTTTGTTATGTACATGTATAGAAAAAATATTATTTTTATAAAGCTTTTATATTCACATTTATTTGCTTAAAATTTCAAAACTCATGACTTCATCGGGATATTGGTTTTTATGAATTAATAGGTTATAGTTTTTTTTTTATATTGTACTTTCTTTTTATATTATACCCGTCGAAACCTCTTTTCGGCAAAAACCTATTTAGTTTTGCATACTCGTGAAGACCTTATTCATGTCCTTCTTTTTTTGCAGAAAGATATGTCTAATCCATATCGTCTGATGAGAAAAGCCAATGCATTAAGCATTTTGTTAATAATGTACAACAGTGCTGCCATAACACATACCTGGCCTAGTTTTTGAATCCAGATTTCATTAGCATTTACAAGATAAGCTGAATTGTGTTCTTAATTGCTTATGAAATCTAAGTGGCCTAAAGTTAGGACATCCGAGTTTTTTCAATTCGAATATGAATATCAGTCCCACTTGGTATACATGTCAAACCGTGCTCTTTGTCAAACGTTTGATTTTCTTCTCAATATTTTTAGATTTAAATATTGGGCATAATTTGTTTATATGAGTTTGTGGCTCATGGTATGAGTGATGTTTTATGGTCACCAGATTGAGTGACTACAATAGTTCGACCGTTATGATCTATCTCGGTTCAAAGTCGACCTGCTGATTCTATTGGTTATGCAAACGAGCGAGCCCACTTACAGGACGTGCTTCATTGAAACAGACATGGAATGGCACTTTTATAGTCGCTCACTTACTCTATATGCTGCCCTTTCGGATAACAAGACTAGCTCAAATAATCAAAACAGACATACTCGTCACAACAACACATTCTGCATAAATGTTATAGTGAAAGCTACGTTCAATAGACACTTTGCATTGTAAAGGATAGATTTATCAAAATTAGCATCAGCATTCAATCATAATGGTTGATTTCGGAGTAATAAGAAAATCATTTTACGAAAAAAAATAAGGACCGTATGCATATCGGTCAGTGTTTTAGTGATGGCGCAGTGTTGAGGATGCCTAATGGCTTAAATACTAGACGTGATACACGAAAAGCATTTCATTGTGTATCGGTCGCCGAAAGACCGGTAGAGAAGTGTTACGGTATTATACGGTACAAAATTAGCACATAGGTATGAGATACAAACACACCTTGTAATGAAGGTTTTTTCATTGCATGGTTCTTTCATGAATGTCATGTTTCACACTAGACCTTCTCACCGATTTAAAACAGCGGGGATCATCTAGATCCTAAATAGTGTTTCTCCTGTTAGTTTTTATCCAGTAGGTTCTAGAGCACTTGAGCAGTCTGTTTTCAACCACTACTTCACGCGGATGACGTCGGCATTTAAAGGGCTGTAGACAGCTCCGTTGAGAGCTATTGTAGCGGTAGGCGGTCTGACCTGACGGTCTGCACATGAAAGCGGAACGGTCTGCTATAATGTTCAAAATGTCGGGCACGTTTGGAATGTTTGAGATTAAACGCTGATAACGCTGTTACAATGCCATAAAAATAGCCATTATTTGAAAGTAATCCATAATCACGATAGGATTCTTGATGTAAGCAATGGCGATAGTCGAGTTCGATGCTCATAAAGAAACGTTGTTTGGCAAATTCGGCGTTTATTCCCAATAAGAGATCTTCGAGTTCAACACGCTTATTTTTTATATTT